TCCCTCACCCCAGAGATTCTAATTCTGTTGGGGGCCTAGGAATCGGCATTTAATATACAGTGTGATGCATCGGATGCATGTTTGGTGTGCATCGGCACCCTGAGAAATACAAACCCATCAAGAAACGATCGTTCCATTTCACCCATTTAATGGTAAGAACTCCCTGTGCACAAACCCTAAAACCCCAAGCCCAAACCGAGTCAATGACAACTCATAGCGACCCTACCTAGGCTTTCCGAGCCTGTAGATATGTACAGGCCAAATCAGAGCTGGGCTGGATTTGAACCACCGAGCTCGCATTTAGCAGTCCAACAGTTATCAGACAGCACCACGATGTGGGCTTTGTCTTCAGGAAACATTCTTCCTGGTTAGAGAGACAAGACTGGTTATATGGGTGAACTATTGATCAACTCCAAACGATAAAGAATACGGAGATGGCATGTGTGTCCATTAGGACCGTGTTAGCTGCCTGGTGAAGTAGTCATGATTTCTTTTTCTCGTGGAGCAAGTCTGGAGATAGGTGGTTGCTTGAGCCCGTTTAGTCGGTCCACAGAATCAGGACTATCTTCGCAAATTCACAAAGCCTTTCCCTTATGATTGCTAGATGTCTCTTACTGCTTCCACCAGGACAGCTGGGTTCGCAGCTGGAAGGAGAAGGGCTAGGTGAGTGGATGGAAGAGGTTTGTACCTTTGTTTTCAGTAACAAAGGCTTTCCCAGGACATCCCCTCCAGGATTCCAAATGTTAGTTCATTGTCTCTTCTTAACCAGAACTGGGTTCAATGCCCACTTCTCGTTGCAAGGCAGGCTGGGAGGTGGGGAAGCGGGCACACCGGTGTGACTGGCTTAGATTGGGCAGGATCTTGCCATGGTAAGATTCTGTGAGCGTGGAAGAAGGCGCCAATGTACAGTCGGCAGGGCGGATGACAGTATGCTAGGAGGAGGTACTACAGTGGGGAAGAAAGTCCACGAGCTTTGGCATTCACTCAAGGTAGTTTTGAACACAGGGTTTTCTATCTTGGGCAGATGATTTAAAGTTTCCGACCAGTTGTTGAATGACTAGCAAGGTGGCAGTCATGATATACATAGTGCCTATCTCGTGATAGGGTGGTTGGGATGATTAAAACAGACAGCATCTCAAGGACCGAGTGTGGCCCCTGCCCTGGGGCGGTGCAATGGCCAACACTCATGGCAGCTGCCCCAAAGATTGGAGGTCCCAGTCACCCAGAGGTGCCTCAGAAGAATAGGGTGGGTGGAAAGACAAGCACTCTCAGGAAAACCAGCCTTGGAGAGTGTGATGGAGTCGAGTCTCACTGTGACCCACAGGAGATTGCCTGGAGTCAGAAGTGACGCACTGACCCCTGATTAGCACTGTCCTGTGTTGTTTCTGGTTGGAGCAGTGCCTCTGGGTGCCAAGTGAATGCTCGCTGTTATGAACCTTGATGCGGTGATGGGGTGGTCAGCATGACGGTGTAGCACAGATGTGTGGGGAGAGGGAGGGAAGAAAGAGGGTGGGCAGCATTTTCAAAGCGGGTGCTGTGGGGCCCAACTCAGGGAGGATATTGAAATCCAGTCCCCGTGCTGGATGCCGGTGGCCAGCCAAGTGTCGTGGGGGCAGAAGGAATTCTATGGGAAATTAAGTTTGGAAATGAAACAAGGGAAAGAGGCATCTTGACTTCAGGACTTGCCAGAGCCTTTGAGAAGCTATAGTGCCTGTTCCCTTCCATGGAATGCACCCAGGAAGCATTTGGAAAAGCAGCTGGGAAATATTCCTGGGCAGGGGCATGGGACCCTGGGTGGGTGGAAGGACGAGGTGGATTTAGAGGACAGGGGGAAGTTGTCGAGATGTCTACTTCTCTGGACAAGAGTGGCAGCCAGATGATGGTGCCGAGATGTCTTCCAGGGGCAGCATAAGACTAGCTCGCCCAGAATGGAGAGGGCCCCCTCGTACCATAGGAAGCAGATGGAGGTCCCTGACTCCCAAGGCCTGACTATCAGCAGGGAAGTCACAGCAACCAAGTTTCATTCCTCTGTGGGAAGCGACAGAATATTTGGTGGTTTTTAGAGTGAAGAACACAGAAAAGATATTGAAGCAATGGCAGTCTGCAGCAAAGGCCAGTGAACTGTCTCTGCAGCGGGCCAGGGCATGTGTCTCTGTCTCTTCTGGTCCGACTGCGGCTGCCAGGCCTATTCAGCAGTGCTGTCCATGCAGGAAAGCGACCGTGGATCCTCCATGGACGAGTGGGTGTGGTTCGGACCCTGGAATTTGAATCTGATAGCATTTTCCTGTGTTATGAACGGCTTTCCTTCTTGTTGGTTTTTAAGTCTTCCTTGCTCATAGCACAGTTTGAAACAGGTGTTCCTGGTTGGTGCGCCTTTCTTCTCCAAGCTCCAGGTTCCTTCCAATCGACAGTATTGCCGCTGTGTGCACCTGGACTCTTACTCCTCCTCCTCTCCTCCTCCTCCTCCTCCTCCTCACTGCCATCAAGTCCATTCTAAATCATCGAGACCCTGGAGGACAGAGATCTCCTCCCCTGGGTTCCCAAGCCTGTAAATCTTTAGCAGAAAGCCTCACCTTTCTCCTGCAGAGTGGCAGGTGGCTTCGAACTGCTGATCTTGTGGTTAAGAGCCCGACACATAACCATTATGCCACCAGGGCTCCTTGTGTACTTGGATGGTGGGGGGTGGGGGAAGCATGGGGAAAGTTAAGGCCTCTTACGAGCCCTGAAGTTGCCCTTATCAATTCTGCGTGTAATCCACTGGCTAGAATTAAATCACAACTCTATGAGGATGGTAGAAAAGCAGCCTAGTTGTGGGTCCTGGGAGAAAAAGATCTAGTTGTGTCTGCCAGAGCCACTGAATCAGTTAGCTCTTGTTACAACATGTAGT